TTAGGCGTCAGCCGTTATTGAAAGACGCTGTCGCCGGTATACGTTTCTGGGAGGTTCTTCTGCCGAAAAAGCATCCAGAACGACTTCTTAGGCTTATCAGAAAATGAAACCCCATTGCACAAACAAATGCTCCTCCAGAATAAGGATCTGGAATCATGATACTTCTTAGCGGATGCAATACTTTTTCATGTAAGTTCCCTACTTCAAAAACTGCTTAATCCTGACATTTGCCTGGTGCAGTTGAAATTCCCGCATGCGCTTCCTAATTATCTTCGTAGGGTACAGTGGCAGATAGTACTCGTCAACGGACTTAATGAGCATATAATGAGACTTTTATGGTGTAAAACGAAAAATACGGCCATGCTGCTTACTCATTGACCGCCCTGGTCCAACTTGTTTATTTGTATGCACGGTTCAACCATTAATTATGCGCCACAGATTGATCTCAGTATGTTTGAAAATATTTGCTTACAACTCATTCCGCACTCATCCTGCTGCAGGTTTCCGTATTCATTCATAGTCACTTGCAGCTAAAAATTGCCTGAACATCTTTCACATGCGTTGTGACCGAGAAAAAGCGACGAATTTTCACCGGTCCTCCTATTATTGTTGTTCATTGTTTATTTATCGGTTTTTGAAAACCTCTACAGTCATAAAAATCAATTTCTGAGCTGTATGGCACAAATAATCACAAGATTGCGAAACTGCATTCGTTTAAGTGAATCTGTCTTTGATTTCCGGAGAACGACTCACATTTTTCTGATTATCGCAAAAGCAAAGGCAGATTTTCTGTTCCCTGAGGAGATTTATTTAAAACATTTTCTGCCTTTATTAATGCAGATTTATAGAGAAACATGCTTAAATGACGCCTCTTGATCTATAGCTTTTGCATGCGCAGGAAATCACTTGAATATCATGAAGCGTTGGATTATGCTCAATAAAGATCCACTTTTCACTCGATAAACAGACTTAAAACAAACATTTCTTAATAAAAAAAACTTTTTGCACCTCAATTCACAAGCACAAAAATATTAACCACTCCAAATTTGTGTCATACTATCTGTTCATGTTTTGATATCAATATTTCAGGATTTAGGCAATCAACTATATTCGGATGAGAATTCGATAGGTCCGGCTACTGAACTTCATGTTCCAAAGATCTTCAAGTTTTTCCTCTGCACGTGTTCTGATTGCAAATAACGCAGAATTCGAACTTTTCTGCAGAAGCAAATATCCAGAGAGCATTTTTAATAACGACAGACGGATCCTTATCTTGGAGGTATTTAGGAAGAGAATGGCGCTAAACGTATATTTTATGACTCTTAAAGCCATTTAGCATGCGTTTAACTGATTTTGCTTTGCGTTCTTTCGCTTCAGTTACGTTCACAAGTATTCTCTGTCACTGCAAGTGCGATAGTAATTGTTGGACAGCAAACTCTGAGCCGAGCCCCATTGTTAGTCTTTTGAGTGCCCTATGACAACCAGCGCCTAATGACATTGAAAATGTTTCCATCCTTAAACGACAAGAATATGCTAACTACCCTTTCGGAACTGACTCTTCCACCAGTCACGGCCGTGGAAGATTGCTGTCCCTTTAAAAGGAACGACTTACATATTTTGAGTTTTATAAGGCAATTTTGAGGCTAGTATTCCACTAGAGTAAAATGACTTTTATCTTTTATTTACTCCTTAAAAGAGCGCATTAACGAAGCATGGTTTAAGTGTCTTTTAACGTCACGAAACAAAATTATTCGCACCTCCGCAACAGTACTCCATCTGTTGGCTAAACTAGACGCTTCTGAGAAATTCGTCGTATCTGAAAACCTCTATTCCAGCGCTATCTAAAATTGCCCTTCAAAGGGGAATAGCGACCCGACTTGTGCAAACAATTTGACCTATGGGAAATACCAACTTACCTTTGTTGTTGCCGTTCTCCCTTTTAGGTTGGCATGGTCGTGTCTTTCATCTATATCCTTCTTCTTCTATTAGTTAAACTGAGTTCTATTAAAAATGACCCTTCTGCTTCCCTTCCATTTTCAACATAGCTTTATTTTGCACTGTACCCATTTCTTTGTGTCAGTGAAATGCAAAGACGGATAGCAGTTAATGGGGCATTTCGATGTTTTGGTTCTAGGGACACAATACTTCCAATTAAGTTGAAATCGCACATTCGATCACTACACTCACTACAGTTCTAAATGCGTGTAGGATTTTAATTTTGATTTAACTCCGACAACCTTATCTTCAATAGTAATGACCTTACTATGTTTTTTTGGATTTCTGCTGACCTTACATATTACTTTGGCCATACAAGTGATGTATATGTGATACTATTTACCACTTTCGATCAAGTGAATTATAGTTTCAATTTACGGTGGATTTTCCCTTCACAAAGGGTATGGGGAATAACTCGCGACAGTCCGCCGTTGGCTCAAAAATAGCCGGCCCTCAGGAAATGGAGCTTCGTTTAACTTGTTAGCAAAAGTAGCTTATGTAGCCCCACCCATATACCCCTAGTGCCAGCATTTTGTCCTGCAAAAACAGTGGCTATAGAGTTTTCTGGGGTGGGGAAATAGGATATGCATAGAAAGAAATTTTTAGAAGTGTAAAGTGAAAAAAATTAATCTAAGTTGCTTCCCGCGGCCGCTGGGAGCGGGTTGTTCCGCATTTAAATTGAAGGTGTGCGGGGCGCTTCGCGCCACGGACTATACTAATTTAACTCCACAACGGTAAGTTGGACCACAGGTACGTTGAAGTAGACGACCTCCTAACCACCATTTCAATTTTTCGGGAAGTTTAAGAAACCTGCAAATTTGATAGTCGGGTTTTTCGCAATAAGTTAAATGATAATACAGATTAGGAAAATCTACAGATATACATCAACAACACTTCTAAATACAGTAAAATAAAAATGCATTTAGCATTTATCAAAGCATTTCTAACTACAGTAATATGAAAATGTATTTAGCATTTATTAAATTATATTCCTTTGTGTGTACTAATTTCCCGCCCATAAAACCCGATAACCACCGTTTTCATAGGAAAACATGCAGGTTGTTGGGATTAATGAGTGGGGCTACATAAGCAACTTTCGCCCACTTGTTTTGGAGTTAATGGGTGAAAAGTTTTATTTTATAGGGGGATTATCGATCCCAGTAACCGAATGTGTGCTTTCTGTTGACAGATTTTAGTTAAGTTTCTGTGTAAGATTGTAAGCAAGCTGAAAGAGATATGATCGTGTTCTTTTAAATACACTTCCGTGCTCTCAATGGTACAACGTGTTATACTTAAATAGACTTCATTTTGTCAAAATTCTTGAATAGGAACTTTCATTATCCCTGTGAAATGATGGCACCAACAGCCATTTACTTTTTTATTACCAGCTTGACAATGACTTTTACGTTTCACTTTATGTCTAAAATAAGTATTTTTGATAACTTTCATTATGCACCGAAATAAACATGACAAGTAGGTCCGATAATCGATCGTTACGCGTTAATCCATTAGTACATTAACCTTTCCGTATATTCAGTTTCGCAATATTAGTGGTTTCACTATAATCTTACTCGTACGTTATTTCATCAAAGCTAATTTTCAAGAATGCTGGACGCAAACAACATTTATATGATGCGGCTTGCATTATGTCCATTCACACAGCTAGACTTTTTGCCGGGCGTTGAATTCGCTCATTTTCGTTGTATTACATCATGCTTCTATATCTTCATACATCTAAGGTTTCTGATAGATGCTTTTTTTCGATGATGTGCTTGCCTTGCGGCCAAGAATATCGACAACCTGCATTTTATGTGGAGTTTTGCTATTTCTGAGGCCATTTTAGATTTTCCATTCAACGTTGTTTGCACTTTTAGTCGCTTAAAGTCAGTAATTACTTCTGTTTTTAGTTACGAGCGTCATTATCATGAAAGCAGTTTGAAGCATTTGGTTAACCACATTTTTTTCTTAAATAAGCTGGTTTCTGGAGGGTGCGCTGACGTACGCGAACATGGTTCAGTGATCCATTTATCATAAGTACTGCGTTCATATACTCTTTTTCTATCTGTACAGGCTCAGCATTCTATGGCAGTTGAACATTTTAGACCCCGCATGCGAGCAAAACCTATGATACCCCGAGTACCACGCATTCTAATATAAGTTTACATTGCATTTAAGAGACGTTAATAAGTGATTGAAATATTAAGCTTATTACGAAAGCTCCTGCGGACAGCAGGAAAATGGCTGAACAGGGTTTTGACAGGACGGACTTATTATATTATTAGATGACGCAAAAGGAATTCCAGGACTTTCTGAATATAGAGTTAGGAAACTGAGATTGTGAAGCGGTGCTGCGATCTCTCTACTCTCGACTGTGAAATTCAAAGGGATAAATTATTTCACTTTAATAGAAAGGCCCGTCATACCTTTAAAAACAGACCTGCTCTCAAAAATTACTTTGAACTTTCCACTTGATAAAGAGTGCCTGTTTAAAGGAGAACAACAAGGCTTTATTAGAGACCCTTAAACAAAAATATAATTTACTAAATTTCTGAGAACTCATAGTAGACATTTATTTTCTAGGTGTACTCTCAACAAATATTCTCTTGTAATATAATCTTCTAGAACAAAATATATTTATTACATATGATGAACGATAACAGGTAAAGGGTAGAGTTATATTTTTGCCAGGTCGAATATCTTAGTGGCCATGTTAGACTTCCGTTAACCATTTCAAACATAAAGACTCGATGTCGCATTAGGAGTCTTAGTTAAACTTAAGGATTGACGAAATGATTATAAACTGATCCTCAGGTGAAGTTCGATCCACTCTATACTACAGTTTTAAATATAGTACGTGTTATTTAACGTTTTTCTCTTAATTTTTACTTTTTGCAGTACTTTTGATAAACACACCCTACTTAGTAAATCACATCTCATGTTGAATTGCCTTTAAATTCCTTTTACCACACAATTCAGTAGCTCAATTAACTGTACCTTTCAGTCAAATGCATACGAATTCTGCAACCTATGGCCTGTGGCTAATCAGTTTTCTGCGGCTCGCCATTCTTGCTTTGTGTGATACGCAGGAAGTCAATGTTGGTAAGTCTACTCGCATGTTAACGTTCAATCAAATATTAGTTTTATCACTATTTTAGGAAGCCTGCCGAGAAATTTAGCCAAATTTTAGTTAAATTGAATTTTGAGATATTGACCAATAGAACCCGAAAAACGAATGTTGCGTTTTGCATAGAACTTGCAAAACAAATGTATTGACTTCCTTTCGAGTAACTGTATCATGAAAATTTATTCACTACCACTTTTCCTGCCCATGCTCACCAAACGCATTCGCCTTTGTGAATTTTTAAGGTAAGTAGCAAATGGATTGGTAATTACAACTATATCGTAGATTTTGGGAGTCTTTCCGGTTGTTAAATCATGAAATGTCATTTAAATGTCGGAAGTATGTTTTCTACTCTAACAAATGACGTAGGTAGTGTCCAAAGGTTGCTCACGGCACAACATAATCCCAATATTTTTCACGTACGACAGAATGCCAACCTTCGAACGTGCTCAGTAAATTAGAACTTAAGTATTAGGGAATTCATCGATTAATTTTCTATGTCCCTATACGCTCAGATACATTTTACAAAAAGGTGTGCAGAAGCATATGCCTTCGTGTACTCACTTAGTAAAAGATAAGGGTTTTTCTTCTATTTTGTGCTCGGAAGTATGGATTATTTTAGTTTTATTTCCCTTTTAATTTCAAAATATATCGGCTTTTGGACCTGTATTCAGTGAGTTGCAAAATAAACGTTTCATACATTCTACGTGGGTAGAACCATACAGTTCCTTATGTCGTTAGAAAGGCGATAAATACTTTTCGCAGAAATTTGCAATAAATAGGGACGATGTTGTCTACTGTATAAACAGCATCAATAAATTGACGGATTTGATATTTTACGAATGGACATTTAATATTCTTAAAAGTTGTCATCGTAAGGAGCCTTTCTTCTAAAATAAGAAATTAAGGAGACGTAATCTTCTATCGAGTGAGTATAATATATAGTACTGTTCGTTGTGCGTTGTATGAAATATATTTGAATTTATGAGGATATTCAAAATAAATGCTTCTTTATTAGTTATATTTTACAGAGCGTGGTTTCTACAGGTGACTAAAAACGTTCAAAAGTTAGCAGCTTGCCAACTCTGGGGTATAGTAGGATTATGCTGCAAAATAACTAGTTTGGCGACTTCACTGAAGAATTCTTTCTTAATATGACGCGTATTTCAGAATTAAGGTTAATATTACAGTTTTTAAGTCATTTACGGTAACATACCCAACCCGCTTTCCTTAAATTGTGTTTGAAATCATGTATAACCTGAAAAGTTTGACAACTCGATTAATTAACTCATGTGACGGTACTCAAATTCCCTTAATTTATTCACATGCTGAACTGCTGGAATATGCCTATGCGCTATTTCAGCTTGGAAATACACTTTTTATTGGACCCAAAAGTTTAAACTGTCTTTTTATTTAAAAAGTCATCTAGGCCATACTACAAATAATAGAACGCGGTTCCGTGGTATGCAGGTTACTTTTTTTCTTTGCGCTTCTTACCACAGTTCTTTTGATTTCCATGTCTTGCTGTTTCATTATCTACAATTCGTCAAGTTTCCAGTAATATAGAACTACACACAGGCCTTTAAAAAAGCATTACATTTTGGACAAGTAATAAAGTGTGGATACAAAATATTGGATTTATTGTTTCTACAGACGAAACTGATGTTTACTTTACACAATCTTTAACCAACGTCTATTACAATTTACTGTCCTAAACCGTTTTTGCTCGTATCAACGCTTTAGCTTAAGTGCTTTTGCAAAATTATGTGAGTTCTCATCTGCAGGTTGCGCCCATGGCGGCTGAATTTTGTGCAGCAGTTGTATGGGCTAACGCAAACAACCATTTGTCTGTGATAAACAACTTAAGAATGGTCATCTTAGTGCAAAATTTGAAAACTATTGCAGAATATTCGGACAGTTTTAACATACTTTTCTTTTTCCCCTGTCAGGCTTCATCCTTGAGGGGCCAGCCGAGAGAGAGACCACAGTCATTCAAAAGGCGATAACAGCAGCGAATAGGAAACTGGCTGAACTCCTGAGCGGTCAGTCTCATCAGGTTACGCTGGCTCCTCTGATAAAACACATCGACCCCCGAAATGCCTTTGCTGCCACGAAAGCAGGTTTGTCGAATTGTTGCATGGCAGAGAGTTGTCACTATGCCCCACCTATTACCCTCAATAGAGTATCACATAGCCGATGTGTCAAACGGCTTCCTGCAACATAGCATATCAATCAATATCATTCCCTCCTTCCTTCTCAGATATATCTTCTAAAAACTAAACAACTGTTTTCCTTTTTTGAAAAAGGAATTAATGCGAATTTGCAAGTAGATTCTAGTCAGTCGAGCACGCCATCACCATAAACCAAAACATGTTGCAGGTACACACTCTAGTTTTTTCCTGAAGTCCTTTTAGTTTCCTGATAATCCAGGAAGTTAAAATTTATCTCTTCCAACTGAAAAAAACTTGTTACCTGTAAGCGATTGCAGTCCAACGCGTTCTCAAGCAAATAAGTTTTATTTTAAAAAATGCTCTGTTAATTCAGTAAAATACTACCTAGATTGATCGTGGAGTTTTCTTAATAAGGTAAATCTGTGATGCATATTTCGATTGGAAAGGAATTACATGTTCATGTAATGCGGAAACTATTTGTGCTTTCACAGATATCTTACAGCACATTATAACTGTATGCAATGATAGTTACTCTAGGGGACTAAAAGAAATTCCATGTCCGGTTGCGAACTCAATTTTGGAGTCCGAGGTAGATTAGATAAAGGAAATTCCAAGGACATAACGTTTGTTCCGTAGTTTGGTTTATAGCCCTCATTTTAGACACAATAAACAGTCCAAATAATGAGAATAATTTATCAACTTTCCCTGTGCTTGACTCTCCTTCAAATCCTTGATGTGCTAAGGTAATCTCAAAAGCATAAAACCTGATGCGTTCGTCAGCACCTACATTTTCGTCATGATGTCCTTCTTTGTAGCAACTGGTCAGGTTTTCTGAGTATAGTCTATCGATGCACTTCACATTCACTCGCATGAACTTATAATAATGTTTTAACTCTTTTAACACAAATGATATTCCTAACGGATTTTAGCATCCCTACAGTTTTACACTAGCAATTAAGATTAATTACTCTAATAACATGTTCTGTCTTCAAGTATGCAGTTATTACTGTAGGCCAAATGGTGTAGTTGAAAGCTAAAAATTTTAAACTGCACTTTTACTCCTCTTAAAAGCATGCGACCTGCTGATGGACCAAGTGATCACTGTCTTTGGACCCGAAAGCACACTAGCTTCGACTCGGGTTTTATGGGTCGCTCAGAAATATAGCATTCCCTACGTGGTGGTCCAGTGGGGAGATGATGAGCCCCTCCACAATTACTCCATCAACCTCCACCCCTCATACAATGAAGTGGGTCGCGTCCTTCGACGGTTCATCGAGGAAGCTGAAGATTGGACGCATCTCGGAATCATCTATGCTGATGACGAAGGTACGACCTTTAAATCCTAAAATATCCATTAATTCTCGTTTGAAAGATCAAAAAACCAGCAGTGTAGGGAGATAGTTCCTGGATCAGTCCTCCCATTATCACTCTTTCACAGCCATTATGCCGCACAGCTCGATTGTAAATCTTGAAGGATTTTCAGGGCATTGGACAGAAGCGATTATCAAATTTGTTTATAATGCATACAGAAGAACCGTGTTTTCAACTTTTTCTAACTCCGTAACCTCTCTGGTTGAATAAAGGCAAAATAAAATAAATTTCCTTAACCCAAACTAAGACCAAAGCTTAAACCCACTGGGATATTAGTAATTAGATCAGACCGTCCACCTCAAGTGTTTGTGAACTTTCCCCGGGGTGTTCGCGAAGGAGGCTAGACACAGATTACAGATAAGGTACCGTAACTACGTCCTTTTTAGGGAAAAAAATTCTCTGAATACACAGCTTGTGTAAGTCTATGGTGGTCATATTGATCTTCCGGGAGAAATAAACACGTTTTAGCGTTACGTAGATATTATCTTTAATAATGATTTTTTTGTATTTGTTAACCTCCATTTCTGTCAAAAAGGCAGCACACTTCCGTCTTATGCAAATACTTTGGACTGTCAGACAAACTTCAAATGTACTACGAAACCAGAAACTATATTTTACAAAATAACTCCCCCTTAGGATTTTCTTTGGGTTGAGCCAATGACTTAGTAAACATGTCCTCAAAACACACCACAACAATGTCTGTAGTGTATATATAAAAGTATAATTTTCATAATTTTTCTTGCCCTCACACGTTGCCTTGCCAAAACATAGGCGAGACCAATCTCCGCCGCAGTAAGATGCGTGTGGCCTTAAACAGAAGGCTAATGATAGCCGAAGGCGTGCATTTGGTTGCGCCTAATTTGCCACGGATTTTCGGGCTAATGTGCCTGAACGCCTTTCTTTGCTTGCGTGGGTAGGGAAATAGCTTAGATTTCCA